AGAAAAGGTGGCGGAACTCAAACCTGGCCACGCCCTCATCAAACCCTAGGACCGCCCCTTTAGAGAACAGGAATGCAAGTAAAATTTGGGAGGGGCTATTTCCGGTGTGGGAGGGGCTATTTCCGGTGCGGCCGGCCCGGAAAAAGGTGCCGGAACGCGGTTCCGCCGCGTTCCGGCTGAAAAAAAGCCCTGCTCCTAATTATAGGTTTTCCAGCCCTCTGTGTAGACTTCCACATATTAGAGAAGAAAACTCTAATACGAAGAAAATTCATTAATGGGTGAGAATCCGCCTCTCAACAAGATACATTTTCTAGATATATTTCTGGGTGACTATAACAACAACAACAACAATAATAATAATAACAACAATAATAATAGAAGCATTTTCAATGGAAACTCCAAATGAATTGCCCTAAGCAGCTGTCTTTGTTTTTATTAATATTAGAATTGATCCTGTGCTCCAATATTTCTCACCTTGGCTTGCCTCTCCTCATCTCCACCATCTACTGGCCCTCCTCTGCTTGGCATCCAAACTGCCTTAAGCTCCTTTCTTCCATTATTTGTAGCAGAAAGTCCTTCCTTACTGCCTCGATATAACTTTGTTTGTATGAGACTTATTAAAATGACCAAAGAATTCAGATTGGCTGAAATCCTGCCCTCTGAGAGTGGATGCTGAAGCAGCAGGCTGGCAGAACAACATGACTGCAAGGAGATGCTAAGTATGTTTTGTATGTTCAAGAGGGAAGGACTTTGGAATGCCTAAATGGAAAACGCACTGGCTGCAAAGTTAATCCTATGGTTTTCTATTAAAATCACTGGAGGAGGAGACTAAGGGCAAAGTGCCTTATATACCAAGGACTTTATATATAGGCCACCTCCAATATTATTAAATTCTGTACGGGAATATATTAGTCCAGCAGTCCCCAACCTTTCTGCCACCAGGGACCAGTTTCGGAAGAAAAATGTTCTTCCATGGACTGGGAGGAGATGGTTTCGCACACAACCTATATCATGTGCATGAAGCTTTGCTTGTGTGGCCCAGTTCCTAATAGGCCACCAACCGGTACCAGTCCATGGCCCAGGGGTTGGGGACCCCTGTATTAGTCATCCTTCTCCATTGCTTCTTTTCCTAATCTGTTATAAAGCTATCATGACCACCGGGAATCTAAGTCTTTTTGTCCTGACTCAATTGAAAAGCAAAAGCTAGAACATATCTTTGTACAATCTCTGGATAATTTCATTTTGCTGAATTATAGTCCATCTGAAAGTATCAAAGAAGCATTGCTACTAAATTACATAATGATTCAATGAAAAGTCCTGACTCAACAAAATGTCTCCAGTGCCTAACTTAGTTCCAAGATTTTAGTTCTTCAGCAAAACACAAACAAGGTCCCCTCAGCTGCAGTTCAGTTTGTGTGCAATAATACTGTACAAAATTTTATAAAACCTTCACGTCCAATTCATCACCATAATCTGAAGCACAGATATTTGCTCCTAAATATAGAAAACAAGTACCTTTGAGAATTCGTAGTTCTGACACATTATTTATGTAATTATGGGATAAATAGTTTAAATGTTAAATTACACTGACAACAAAGGTACATGTTATAAGACCATGGCTTTCTAGTTGTGACATATGGCTGTGAAAGCTGGATTGTCAGAAAAGTTTAACCTGGATCATACAAAGAACAATACTTAATGAAGTAAAATTAAGACTGTTCAGAGCAAGCATAAGTAAGAATGCTAAAGTTTAAATATTTTGGATGCCTGTTGTGAAGGGCGAGTCACTGTACAAGCCTCTAATTCTTGGAAAAATAAAAGATTAATAAATAGAATAATAAATAAATAAATAATTCCAGAAGAGTCTGACAGAAGATGACTAGATACTATCAACAGATAACACAAGCAAAAGATTAAAACAATATAAAGAAGCAAAGGATAAATATGATTCTAGCAAAATGATGTCCACCATTTACAAAGACTGGAGAAAAATACAATTCTTTTTAGGATCAACCTGGTGTTTGGATTCAACAGGCAATATCAGGAAAACAGGTTAGATTTGAAAACAAAACAAACAAGCTTTTTTTTCCTATTCAAAAACACATGGACTTGTCCCTAAATTTCCTAGGAATCATGTTTGACTCAAAGTAGTCTTCACCTTTTATCTTAAATTACCTTTTACTTCAGGGGTACGGAATCTTTTTCTCTCAAGGGCTACAAGTTATGAATTGGAATAAAGCTGCATTTTAGTTCTTCTTTGATGACCCCATTTTATTTCCACTTCTTCAAGCTCAGGTAAGTGCCAGCAGAGAGGCAGGCCATATCTTTCCAAACTTGAACTGACTGCTCACAAATGGCCTTTGTGAAAAAGAGGCTAGAAGTCTTACTTGACCATGTCTATATTTGGGGGCATACATGCCTACCTGGTTTTCTTTAAGGCTCAGCTGTCCCTGTTCTTTGTTGCCACAGAAAGTCCTGAAGCATCTCCAGACAGTTTCACCTGGGCGAACTCGCTGGACAAAATTGGCTGGGAAAAAGCCAATGCGGTCTCCCATCTTCCCCTAGATTGCAAAACAAAAATATCACCACTATAGAACAAAAGTCTATATTAGTATTTGTTGTATTTTTATATCTTGCTCATCAGCAGGCATAGAAACTTGGCCTTTTAAATTAAAAATTATAAACTGAGACCTATAATTCTCTGGATTTTAAATAAGAGCCATAGCAAGTAAAATTGGCCCTTGAGAATTGTTCCGCTATATGGTTAAATACATGCATAGTCATATATTTGCTGGTTTTTTCAAACAGGCAATAAAGAAAAGTATTGATTTCATCAGGTTTCTATTGGATTTTTCAGTAGAAAAAATTCTATAATTATAGTTTTTGTTTATATAATGGATTTATTGTTTTGACATTTTTATTGTATGTTGTGGCTGGAGAGAGTTTTTCTAAAGGCACAGTGGAAGTTTATTCAGAAATAAATAACTGAATCAAGTAAAACATCTGCCATTACACTTGCTTTTACACAATAAGGGTCAGGGAACCATCCTTACTGTTGGGGAAGATGATTCTTTAAAATAATGTTTTCGAGCTTCATCACCTTCTTTCTCAAAATCAGTTCTCCCCAACTTGAACTTTCCTAATTTGTTGGCATTGCATCTCTTGGAAGATCCAAATAATGTTGCCTTTGTGAATTTTGGTCACAATATATATGGAATCTTTAGAACGATTGGTTGGAAAAGTTGCTGTACATCAGGGATTTCCCCCAAAAATTTCAGGACTAATATTCTGCATTGTTTAATTGCTAAGCAGATGGTCATGGGTAGGATGACAGGAGTAAAGTTAAGGAATAAGTAATCTGACTAGAGCCCAGTGTGGTTCATTAGTTTTGTTCTTTGTTATTCAAAGAACTATTCAAAGATTCATTTTGGAATGTTAAAAATATGATTTCAATAACTTAGAGCTTGAGAAGGATTTCATGGATGAGAATCCTCAGGGAGGGAAAACAGTCCAAGAAGCTTGGGAAACTTTGAAAAGCCCAGTCAATTCCAATGAAGGAAAAAAATAAGAGATTTCAACAGAAATCAACATGGCTGCACAAAGAACTCTCTGATAAACTGAAAGACAAAAAGGACAAAATATAAAAAATGAAAAGAGAGGCACATAACTAAGGTAGAATATCAGCAAATAGCCCAAATCTGCAAAGATGAAATCAGGAAAGCTTGAAGGCTTGAAATGAACTAAGGCTTGCGACAGATGTCAAAAATAAAAACTTTTTTCATGTAAAAAACAAGAAAAAAGTAAAGGAAACAATTGGTCCATTAATAGGAGAAAATGGCAAGGAGGTGACAAGCAGCAGGAAGAAAGCAGAACAGTTTAAGCGAGATTTTGCATCCATCTTTACACAAAAGAAAATAAACAGTCCAACATAAAAAATACTGCAGAATTGGGAGATGTGATCACAGAACCAGTGAACAAAGTCCTGGGGTACTGGGAAACTACCAGAAGACTGGAAAAGGGCTGATGTAGTTCCCATTTTTTAAAAAGGAAGAAAACTAGATCCAGGAAACTACAGACCTATCAGTCTGACATCTATGCCAGGAAACATTGTGGAAAAGATGATCAAACAATGAATATGTGAACAGCTAGAGGCAAACAAAGTCATAACAAAGCTGATACTGGTTTGTCAATTATGTCAGACAAATCTTATTGCATTTTTTAATAAAGTGACAAAACCAGGAAGATGTTGTGGATGTAATTTACTTGGACTGCAGTAAAGCATTTGATAAAGTAGACTACAACCTACTACCTGATAAGATAGAAAAATGTGGGTTAGATCAGGGCCATCCAACCCTCAACCTCCAGGCCATGGACCAGTCTGCGACCTTTTGGGAACCGTGCCATGTAAGCGACAGGCAAGCGTGCAAAGCTTCATTTGCACATGCATGAGAGCTAGGCTGCACATACACAGCCAACCCCTCCCCCTCGCCACCCCCTCTGCTGCCAGTCTGTGGACACAGAAAGATTGGGGACTGCTGGGTTAGACAGCATCACTATCAGATGGATTTTTAACTGGCTGACCAACCACACACAATTTGTAATCCTTAATGGAACTGCTTCTACATGGAGGGAAGTATGCAGTGCGGTACCCCAAGGCTCTGTCTTAGGCCCAGTACTCTTCAATGATTTAGACAAGGGGCTACAAGGGGAACTCATCAAATTTGCAGATGACACTAAGCTAGCAGTAATAGCCAATACCCCAGATGATATGCTCAGGATCGAAATGGATATTGACATACTTGAACACTGAATCCTATCGAACAAAATGAAATTTAATTTAGAGAAAAGTAAGGTTTTATACTTATGCAGGAAAAACCAAATGCATAGGTATAAAACAGGTGGTACCTGCTGCAAGATGGATCTTGAATTCCTAGTGAACAATCACTTAAATATGAGCCAGCAGTGTGCTGCAGCTGCCACAAAAGTCAATGCAGTACTAGACTGCATTAACAGAGATATAGAATCAAGATCATGTGAAGTCTTAATACCACTTTAAAATGCCTTGGTAAAACCACACTTGGAATATTGTATCCAGTTTTGGTTGCCACAATATAAAAAATATGTTGAGACTCTAAAAAGAATGCAAAGAAGAGCCACAAAGATGATTAGGGAACATTTGAAGAACCGTTGTAGTAATTGGGTTGTCTAGTTTAATGAAAAAAAGGATTAGGGGTGATATGACAGCAGTGTTCCAAGAGATTGCCAGCAGTGTTTCAAGGGGCTGCTACAAAGAAGAGGGTGTCAATCAATTTTCCAAAGCACCTGAAGGCAGGATAAGAAGCAATGGATGGAAACTAATCAAGGAGAGAACCAACCTAGAATTAGGATGAAATTTCTTGACAGTTAGAACAATTAATCAATGGAACAATTTGCTTCTGGATGTTATGGGTGCTCCAACACTGGAGATTTTTAAAAAGAAATTGGACAACCATTTGTCTGAAATGGTATACGTTTCCTGCTTGAGTAGTGGGTTGGACTAGAAGACCTCCAAGGTCCTTTCAACTCTGTTATTCTGTTATATACTGAAATACATATATAAAATCAGAGAACCATAATATTCTCCAAGCCTGTAAGCCATACAAGGCTTGTTCCAGCATTTTAGAAAAGCATAGGCTATCTTGAGTTGTGGAAACGGTACCCAACGAAGTATATAAGTGTTTATAATTAAATTATACAATAAGATAGAATCTTTGCTTTAGAATACCTAGATATTGAGAACCTGGTATTCTGTACCTGCAGATTTGCAATTAGAATCTCCTCTCTCTCTCTCTCCCTATCTCCAATCCATCCATCCATCCATCCATCCATCCATCCATCCATCCATCCATCCATCCATCCATCCATCCGGCAATTACATTTCTGAACCATTCATCTCCTCAAAGATGAAGCATTCAATCACACTGGGCTACAGATTTCCTCCCTCCTCACCTATATCTTTAGGATCCTGTCCCTTTTTATAATTTAGAAAAGTTCTGAAGTCAGAACTTTTCAGAAAGCCTTCAGAGTAGGCTGTCATCACTGTAGTGCAATAGTTAAGAAGCTGGTCTAGGATAAGGAAGTTCCTGGTTTAAGTCCATGGTGAGCTCATGTGATGTCTCCCTTGGGCGACTCCCCAGATTCCTCCTCAGATGTCAGTTCAGAGGAGATTGAGCCCATTCCTGGCATGTCAGGAACTGGGTTGATTGATGGCTCTGAACAGCCTTCCAAAAGAGATTTGGAGGAGGCTTCAGGTGGGGAAAACTTGCAATGGTAGATGGCCAGCAGAGGAGGAACTGCCTTCTGTACCTAATCCAAGAACACACAGGGCAGAGAAAAGGCAGGAAGTCTGGAGGTCAGCCAGGCTACTCAAGAGAAGATCCCACCCATTTGACAGGCTGCACCAGAAAGCTGGTTAACACAGCCGACAGAAGCAGGTGTTGCTGGGAACGTGTTGGTTTTCTAGCTGTTCATTTGATTGTCATGATTCCTGCATCTCTCTGGATAGACACCGTGTTTGGAATTGTGCCTTGGAGACTCTGAACTTTTCTTGTTACATGAGCTCTTTTGTGTGTGGATTTAAGTTATGCCTGGTGTAGTTATTTGTTCAATTGTTTTGTGGACTATTAGGCCATTGTTCTGTGGATTAATCTTGGCCTGCTCATGGCTGGACTTAATTGGGACAGTTCTGAGCTTTGGTGAAGGGAATTGCTGGGGAATATTAATAAACTTACTAAACCACAGTTACTTGTGTGTGTGAGTGAGTGGGGCAGCTGTTTGTTCCCAGCCCCCTTTTCCCCAGAAGCCCTGTTTGTTGGACATTATGGAGCAATAGCTAGTCACCAATGCCAAGCTGGCCCAGCAAGTAACTTTTCTTTCCAATCAGTTGGCACAATTGCAGGCATCTGGACTGTCAAGAACTCGCCGTAAATGCCCGGTTGCTATCCCAGATAAATTTAATGAGAACTCTGCCCAATTCCCAATTTTTGGACAATGTCAGTTGTTCATGAGCCTGAGACCAAATGATTTTCAAACTGACTGGGAGAAGGTGGGGTTCATCATCAGTCTATTGACAGGACCAGCAGCCCAGTGGGTGATCTCCCCCTCCTCATACAGTCCAGTCAGTTGGTGGATGACTATGCAGGGTTTTGCTTTCAAATGAAGGTCATGTTTGAAGATCCTGTCAAGGTGCAAACAGTGAACCGGCAGCTGAGGGAGTTGAAGCAGGGGTGTTGCCTTGTAACTGAATACATCTCTGACTTGCAGTTGATCAGTCAGGATTTGAGATGGAACGAGAAAGCCTTAATGGACCAATTTCAGGAGAGCTTGTCCTCTGAAATTCTGGATGAGTTGGCACCCTGCCTGTGCTTGCGCATAGATGGTTGACTCCAGCAGCGAAGGGTGCAGCGATGAGAGGTGGCTGCTCCAATACCCAGGAGGTTTTGTGAGGAGCCTCAACCCCCCAAGAAACCCATGCAAGTGGGGAGGGGACGGACGCACCTCACACAGGCAGAAAAGGATCAGAAGTGCAGGGAAGGCTTGTGCCTATACTGTGGAGGCCCCGGTCACCTAGCCGCTAAGTGTCCTGCAAAGAAAATTCTGGCGATGGCAGGAAACTCCCCCTGCCTGACTGAAATGGCTCACTTGGTTGGGTGATTTCTGGGGTGGGTCAGGTGTTAATGCCACAGATTACGCCAACCCAGTATTTGGTGGTTGCCGTGATGTTGACTTTTCCCAGAAGTGAGGAAGTTCTCACACAAGCCATGATGGACTCAGGGACAACCACGAAGTTCATGGACACAGCTTTCACCACTAAGTGCAGTGTGCCATAACATGAAGTAAACTGCTCATTTTGGTGGAAATCATCAATGGCTGGCCAATTCAGTCAGGGCCGGTAGCCATGGCTACTGAGACTCTTCAGATGTGTATAGGAAACCACATGGAGTGATTGGAATTCTATGTGGTGGCCACTCCACCTTTTCCAATCATGTCGGGACTGGAATGGCTTCAGGCACATGACTCACAGATTGTGTGGTCAATAGGGTCATTCAACTGGGCAACCCTAAATGCTGTCCTCATTGGCTTCATGTGTATGCCACGGAGATACATCCTGCTTTGTTTTGGGATCTTCACTTAGAAATTGCAAACTTCACCGACATGTTTGGGGGAAAAGAAGCCGAGCAGCTCCCACTGCATCTATTCTATAATTGGCCCATCAATCTGGTTTTGAATGCCAGGCTTCCAGTGGATTGGATTTACTCCTTATCCAAACCTGAGCTCAAGGCCCTCAATGACTTTATTGAGAAGAACTTGAAGAAGGGCTTCACCCATCCAATGACGTCCCCTTTAGCGGCCCTGCTCCTCTTTGTCAAAAAAAAGTCAAGGGAACTGAGGCTTTGCTGTGACTACCGCAAGCTCAGTGCCACTATCATGAGGAAGCTGTACCTGCTCTCGCTCATTCCAGAACTCATGGAGCAGTTAAGGTAGGCATGGCTCTTCACGAAGTTGGACTTGCGGGAGGCTTAAAACTTGGTGAGAATCCACAAAGGGGATGAGTGGAAGACAGCTTTCTGCACCCGGTACAGATATTTTGAATATACGGTGATGCCATTCGGACTCACCAATACCTCCTCCATGTTTATGCACCTCATGCACAACGTGTTTTGGGATCTCTTGGTTACCTTTGTAGTGATCTATTTGGATGACATCCTGGTGTACTTGTCATTGGCCGAAGAACACTGGTCCCGTGTATGAATGGTACTCCAGCACATGCAAGAGAACCATCTCTTTGTGAAGCACAAAAAGTGCCAGTTTGCACAAACCACCATTGACGTTTTGGGACACTTGATTTTGCCTGAGGGCATTGCAGTGGACCCAGAGAAGAGTGAGGCCCTGCAGTCTTGGCAGCCCTTGTGCTGAGTGAAAGACGTCCAGAGACTCCTGGGGTTTGCAAATTATTATTGAAAGTTTATTCCCCAGTTCGCCGCGATGGCCGCTCCTTGACTTGGTTGCTGCAGAAAGAGGTTCAGTTCATGCGGGGGTCAGTCAAGCAGCAAGACCCCAAGTTTCTGAAAAAGGCTTTTGCTACAGACCCCATTCTTTGCCACCCTGATCTGTCATGACCCTTCATGGTGGAGCCAGACATGTCGGACATCATGATGGGGGCAGTATTGTTACAAGCCCCCTTGAACTCGAAGCAATTCTTTCCTTGCACTTATTACTCACGTCAACTCAATCTTGCCAAGCGGAACTACATGATTTGAGATAAGGAGTTGCTAGCAGTCAAGATGACTTTCGAGGTTTGGTGGCACCACCTAGAAGGGGCTTGGCACCAGATCGAAGTCCAGATGGACCATCAGAAACTGGAGCACCTGAAGATCAGCCAGCAGCAGATCCGATGGTCTCTCTTCTTCACCCACTTTGATTTCCAAGTAACATATAGTCTGGGAGGCTGGAACCAGAGAGCTGATGCTTTGTCGTGTAAGCCAGAGTATACCTGGAATGGGGATAAGATGCATCTCCGGTCAGTGATTCAAGTGACCCAAGAGCCCTTTTGAAAGAGCAAATCAGGCTGGTGCAGTGTTGAGACTCCTGTGTCCAGGCCAGAGGAGTTAGACTCACAGAGGCCTCTTGGGCTCTTGGTCATGCTCAAAGGCCTTGTTTAGGTTTCAGGAAAAGATTAATGTGCAAAGGGGCCCTCCTGTAGGATCTTGCACCAGTGTCATAACAACCATGTGGTGGGGCATTTTGGCCTATTCAAGACTTTGCATCTGGTGGGATAGGTGTTCTGGTGGCTGTGAATTTGCCACGATGTGGATACCTATGTGGTATCATGCCCAAAGTGCCAACAAGCCAAGAACACACTGGGACCATTGCTAGGACTGCTGCAGCCATTGCCCATGCTGAAGAGGCCTTGGGGAAGTGTATCCATGGACTTTGTCACTGATCTCCTGAAGTCACAGGGAACTATGATGGTGTTGATGGTAGACCTGTTCACAAAATGGCCCATTTTGTGCTATGCACGGGGTTGCCCGTGGCATGAGAGATGGCATGGCTATTTGTGTATCACATCTTCCGGTTGCATGACCTACCTGAGCGTATTATGTTAAACCAAGGTACCCAGTTCATGGCCTGTTTTTGGCAAGGAGCTCTTGCAACTTCTACAGATATAGGTATGTCTCTCATTCTCACATCATCTAGAGATAGACAGAGGCATTGAATGGATGAATGCTGTGCTAAACCAGTATTTGCGTTGCTATGTGAATTTCTAGCAGGACAACTGGCTGGATCTGCTGGTGCTGCTGGAGTTCGCATATAACAATGCCCAGCATGCTTCGACTCACATGTTCACCCACGTTTGTGCCCTCTGACTGCTGCGGATTCACCTGTGCCTACAGCCATAGATTTCCTGTAAGAACTCACTGCCATGCACCGAGTGTTGCAGGAACAATTGGAACAGGCTAAGGAGGACTATAAAAAATTCATGGATCAACATTGTTGAGATGTGTCTCCTTTGGCGATCGGTGACCGTGTCTGGCTCTCCACCCGGCATCTTTCCACGATGCGATTGTCCCTCAAACTCAACCACTGCTTTGTAGGCCCATTCCCGATGGAAGCGGTCAAGCCGGTAGTGTACCTGCTGACCCTGCTTGCCCACATATGCATCCACCTGGTATTCCATGGTCCCTGCTTGTACCTGCTGCGCTGCCAGTCCTCACCGGCCATCAGATCCTCTGCTGGAGACAGTGTTAGTGCAGGGAAGCTGGAATATGAGGTGGCATGCATTGTGGACTCCTGTATTCACTGGGGACATCTGCAATATTTAGTGGACTGGAAGGGCTATGGCCCTGAGGACATGTCATGGGAAGATGCCGATGCTGTGCATGCCTGTCGACTGATTCATTGGTTCCATCACGGGTATCCAGGGAAACTTGGCCCAGGGGGTTCCAGGAGGATGGGCCATGATGGAGGGCGATAGTGTGATGTCTCCCTTGGGTGACTCCCCAGATTCCTCCTCAGATGTCAGCTCATGGGAGGTTGAGCCCATTCCTGGCATGTCAGGAACTGGGTTGATTGATGGCTTTGAACGGTCATCCAAAAGAGATCTGAAGGAGGCTTCAGGTGGGGAAAGTTTGCAGTGGTAGATAGCCAGCAAAATGGAGGAGGAACTGCCTTCTGCACCTAATCCGAGAACACGCAGGGCAAAGAAAAGGCAGGAGTCTGGAGGTCTGCCAGACTACTCGAGAGGAGAAGACCCCGCCCATCTTGACAGGCTGCACTGGAAAGCTGGTTATTTATCACAGCAGACAGAAGCAGGCATTGCTGGGAACAACATGCTGGTTTTTTAGCTGTTCGTTTGATTGTTATGAGTCCTGCTTCACTCTGGATGGACACCGTGTTTGGAATTGTGCCTTGGAGACTGAACTTTTCTTGCCATGTGAACTCTCTTGTGTGTGGATTTAAGTTTTGCCTGGTGTAGTTATTTTGTATGAGCAACTTTCAATTATTTGTGGACTATTAGGCCATTGCTCTGTGGACTAATCTTGGCCTGCTCATGGCTGGACTTAATTGGGACAGTTCTGAGCTTTAGTGAAGGGAATTGCTGGGAAATATTAATCAACTCACTAAATCACAGTTACTTGCATGTGTGAGTGAATAGGGCAGTACAGCTCACTGGCAGTCCTTATGGGGGAAACACAGGAGAGAGGGAGTGCTGCATAAGCTGCCTTGGGCTTCTGAATGAACAGCGGGTTAAAAATACAATTGATCGAGCAATCAATCAATTGGTCAAACACATGTGGTGGCACTTGTTCATGTAAGAAGTTGGATTGTTTTATAGTATTTTTATTTCCGATAGACTTATTTGTGTTAGGTATTTTTATTTTATTTCTTAGCAGAGGATGTTTTATTTGCATATGGGAGATACAGTATATGTTCAGATCTCTGTGTTCTAATATTCTGCTCACCTTCCACCAATCTTCATTAGAATCATCTATCAGCATGATTCGGTCTCCTGGCCTGCAGGGACAGACAAAGTCTAGTTTATCTCCAGATACCTTTTGGTAATGAGATGCAGGGAATGCCACAGTATAAAAATTACTGGGCAAAATAAAGTATGCCCTACTAGAAGTACATCAGTCATTACTAGCAGGTGTTCCAACAGCAACCATAGCCTTAATCTTGAATGGTAACTCCTTTAAGCTCCATCAGCAAGATCTCACAGTCCAAGAACTGATTACTATATGCCTATCTCATGCTATGGATTTCTACACTGGAAATCTGGGAATAAGGGCCTACTTACTTCAGTGGCAGATCATTGTTCTCCTGAGGCAGAAACTTGTACAGAGCAACATAAGAATACATGGATGAGACCTCTTTGCGTGTAGATCCTTGAGATGGCTATTGGAAAAGGAAAGAGCCAAGAAGAAACATTGCAGTTTTTAGACACATGGTGTAATCTTTAGGGATCTATTCTGAAGTAAACATCAAAATACCATCTGATGCAAAGTGTTCCTACAGTTTACAGCTTTTGCAAAATGCTATTATGGGAGAGACAGATAAAGATCTTATGATTATCAGAACTTGTTACTTTCCATGCCAGAGATGGTGTAGGTTTGTTGGAAAGAATTTGTGAAAGTTGAACGAAATGAGTCAGGAACAGGGCAGAAGGCAGCACAAAAGTAAAGCTGTATGAAAGAGTCATGCACTTGGCTGACAGGGGCCTCTTTCCAGCCATTCTGTCCATCCTGAAATTGATTGTTTTGCTTGGCTGTATTTTTCACAGCTTAACTTTGAAGAAAAACAATGAGAACATATGCCACTTAGTTTTCTTAAAAAACAGAGCTGTGAACCTTTAAATTGTTCATAGACTCACTGGGGAGAGCATTTGAGCCAATGAATTTATCCCCCACTCAATGTGAAAATCCAGATTAAAGCATTGATGACAAATATTTGACTCACCCTGTCCAAACATGTTTAGCAAATATCCCTAAGAATTTCAATCCATTGCTGTCAAGAAATGTTTTTAACTTTCAAACAAAATCTGTCTTCATGACAAAGAACAGGTTATGGCCTTCTTCTGGATAAAATCTCTCTGAAGAATGCAGTCATAACCTTCTCAGTCTTCATTTCACAACACTAAACACAATTCTCTTAATTGTGTCCAGTAGGAGTTATTTTGCCAGTCATTCTCATTGTTCCTCACTATATTTTCTTTAAGAAATTCTACACACATATAAAATGTCTGTCTCCTTCATGATTCACTAAGGAAGTTTATGATAGTGGACCATCACTAAATAACTACAGTTTGATAAGAAACGGTAGAGAATTTCTGGGTTCGTGTGTTAAATAAGTATCCCACAAAAGAAAGTAATTGAGTAGGCTTATTGTTTCACACAACTCTACTTTTAAAGCTGAACTACTGTACTAAACAATATTTTTGGCTCTTGACTTTTAAAAAAGGAATAAAAGCCAAATATAATTAAATAACAAATATAATATTATTGTGTGCAATTTCTCTCCTTCCCTGCCTTCCCTTCCTTTTTTCCTCTTTCTCTGGAAAGAAAATCCTAGGAAGGGGCTAGTTCATGAAGCCCTTTCTTCTCAAATTGCTGGATCCTACATTTGGGGGGGGGAATCTCTGCTTTTTCTCAATCTTGAAATGAAATGGGTACATTTTCTACCTGTTGCCCTGAGTTATTTTCCTCCAAAACAGGGCTTTCGCCTTCTGTGGCCACTGAGAAAACTGAACGAAAAAAAGATAGAAGGTATTAAGGCTCATCATTCCAGTAGGCAACAAAACATATATTCTTTCTTTTATTTTCCCAGAGAAGGAGGCAATCCAACTTCAGAGATGACAAGGGATTCTGGAAAATTCACTATGAAACAATACCCAGAAATCAGAGAAGCGGTCACTGACAGAAAATTTGGCAAACTGATGTCCCTTGAGTTGCAAAGACTAGGATGCAACAAAACTGAACCACAAGTGATTGGCTGGATTTTTGCAATTCTTTCTGATAGACCTAAATTTGAGAGGAAATATTAATTAAATGGTGTTTGCTGCAATTAGAGGAGTATTTGTACAGGGGGATTTTTTTTTGTTAAGGTTCCAAAACAGCCCCAGCCTCACCTTTAGCAAAACATTGCTAGAACTGAATGCCTTCAAAGTCATAAGCCTTCTTCTCTGAGCCAGTCTTGCCTTCCACAGTATAATTTATGATAAAGGGGTGGTGGTGAATTTGCATTAGAACAATGTTTGGAAGTGAATGTTTGTTTGTTTTTTGAGATTGACTGTATCAGCTTACCAAATAGTAAACAAGGATTTAGTCATCAAAATAAAACATCAATATATGAAAGATAGAATTAGAAAGAGCAAGATTTCTTGCCTTTATTAGAGCCATCTTGGATATCTCCAATGACTTCTAGGATAAAGAGAGCAAGGGAAGGAGGGAGGGAAGAAGGAGAAGAGAGGGGAGAGAGAGAGAGAGGGAGAGGGAGAGAGAGAGGTGTGACTGCACAAAGGCTGATGCAGGCTGAGCAAGCAGGATAACCCATCCCTCCTTTCATATATTACACGTGTACACATGTGTGTGTGGTGCGGAGAAGGTAAATTTTGGGCATGGTTAACAAAACAGGTTATTTTACATACGTTATATTGTAAGTGGGAATGGGAATTTCACTCACCATTATCGGTAATATTTTCCTCTGCTGTTGGTCCACCTGCTGTTGAGCCTTCTGCATTCTGAACTATGTCCTCCTTCTCATTCTGGAAGAAATAAATGCCTCTCTGAGATCAGCCAAGGTTGGCTGGATGTTGCTACCTGCTTTGACTAGACATTCCTTCAAATTGATCTTTATAGCATGAGTACCAGTGAAATAAATGTGTATTGCTTTCTTCATTTACTTATAGTTTCCATCTTTCCTCCTATTCTTTTTCATACATACCCATTTCCAGTAACATTTTCTGCACTATCTCCCTCTAGATTTCACAAATGGGTTTCCCTCAATCCCAGTCTGTTCATCAGGGACCTGTTAATGTTACCAAAATGAAATCTTTGAATTTAGGGACTATACCAGACTCTTGGTGGGGGACTCTGAGGTGCTGCTGAAGCTGGAGCGATTCATGTAGGCCAGTGAAGTGCCGTAGCGCAAAGTCTCATAAACGGGATCTACCTTTCCACTGGGGCCTGCTGGTAAACCAGATACATTTTAGAATTGGATTGTCAGGCACAAAGGAGAAGAAAAGGAAGCTGTCATAAGCATGGTCACTTTATTCTATTATTCTGTACTTTGATTAGTAGATGCTGTCCCCTGATGATTTGTAAAATTCCTTGTGCAATGAGCGAAATCTGTTCTCTTCAGCCAGATTAACCCACCATGCTTCCTAATTACAATCCGGAAAGAGTGAGTTGAGTTGCAATGACCAGTCAAATTCTTCTATTTGGTTCCCTGATAAAGAATCTATTTGCTAAATTGGATCTGGGAGAACTTTGAACTCCACAATGAGCCTCCCCCCCCACCTTCCATGCAATTGCCCTGCCTCAATCATGGCAATTTACTTGGTGACCCCAGCATTATAATCATCTTCCATTTATAACCCTCCTGCATTTTCACACTGCATCTTTTGTATTCTTTCTTACCCCTGAGTATCCATTGAGGAGGCAGCAGAGGCATTTTAGAGGTTGGGTGTCAGAAGATGAGAACTGTGAAACCCCACCCCCTTTTTTTGCACGTACTGCACATGCATGTCTGCCATCTTGAATCCATCCCTTGGAAAGTCCTGTCTGGCAGTACTATGAGTCAGCAGCCTGGGAGCATCTCATCATCCATTTTCTTTGATTGACTTTCTGTCAGAAATTTTACTTTTCAGACTTTGGACATGTCCAAGTTCTTACCTTTAGGAGGAGATTCCTTGGCTGGGGCTGGTTGGGGCTGTGGTTCGTGTAGCAGCAGAGGAGAACTAAGATTACGGCGGAAAGAGGTTGCCTGCTGAGGAACAAAGTACAGAACAATATTTCACTGGCCTGCTATACAGTACTATGTGCTTGACCCTCTGCCATGCTGCTAAGAAGAGGATGAATTAATATTGTGCTTGCTCCCCTCAATTTCCTCTTTGTATATTAACTTTCAGAGAAATTTTAAACTAAATAAATCAGGACAGGAAGTAGTTTAGAGCTCAGCATATCAGCTTTTAAAAATTGTAATTCTTGGATTCACTCTTTGCTTCTAGAAATCTGGTATAGCAGATTGTGTTTGGTCTCAAACCAAGAAAATTCCCCACTCATCTACTAACATTGATCTCACACGACTGTTGTGAACCCATCTACTGGTCTGAGATCCCTGGGAAAACATGAGAATAAAATATAATAAGACAAAAATCTATAATATAGAAAGAAGCAAAATTAGTTTGTAGACACTGACTCTAAGTGATACAACACTTTCTGTTTCATAATGTCAATTGGTAAGCCATAGAAAGCACATGTAATACATACTGATAAAACCAGAAAATAAAATTTAATTAACTATAACACAAAAGAGATGCATATTATAATAATGCAGTTCATTCATTTGTGTCTTTTGCACAACAAAGTAAATAATGCAAGTTTAGCATGTCAATAATGTTCACAAATAGAACAAATTATATTGTAAAGCTGCTTTCCATTCTTTGTTTCTTAATCATATTCTCAGAATGCATATCATTTTCTTAGTTTACTGTTCACATGGAGGAAGGACTGCAATACAAGCAACTGTTTGTGTGCAATGAAACATAACTCATTTAAGCATGATTTCATAAGCTACAATTTGTTAAGGGCAAATATAAAAGAACAGATACAGAGGAGGTGGAATGATAAATACCTTAAAAGTGTTTATTAGTGGCCAAATGTTTTTTAGAATGTCCTTGAGTGAAAAAAATTATAAGTGTCTAAGAATAAAGTATTTTAATCTATTTTCAATTTAGAGAAGGTATAGGACAAATGAATTGATTTATCCAGTTTAAGCAGAAAGCTATATCAGGTAATGAAGAATTGAGATAATTAATTTCAAGATACTTTATTTTGAGAAACACATTTTTTAAACATGGGTGGGATTTTTTTTTATATACAATTTGTTAGGGCAATTTTAAAACCAAACCTGGTCACGTATGTTAATTTTGATCTTACATAATAGGAATTTTCTTGAATTGCCCAAAATTTATCTTAGTTCAGCATTTTGAGAGACCTTCCTTTTCTGCCCTTTGTCAACAAATTTTTAACAATTTTTAATTTAAAAAAAATCAAAAATTTTAATTCTAACATTTCATTTTTTACAGTATATACTGCTTTTTCACAGTATATACTGTTTTTTTACAGTATATACTACTTTTATATTTTGATGTTTTATTGTACATTGCTAAGAGTATCTCTCTGAGGCAGTCAGGTCATTGAGAAATGTGAAAAATAAATCAATAAAAATTTGTTTTTTCACAGTCGCCATCCAGATGTCTCTGAGTATTTTTAAGTGGCAAAAGGAGACGTACCTTCCCCTGCCCTTATTCCTCTAGCCTGTTTGGAGGCATGTTGTCCCCAAGCCAGAGGCAACATTCAATCCGAAGATAACAAACCTTGCTTTAAAGCCATTCATGTTAGTAGCCATCATCATGCCATGTGGTAATGAATCCCACATGTTATATGCTAAGTGAAAACATGCTTTCATTTGCCTATTTTAAATGTCCTCTTAGTTTGCTTCATTGGATGGCCTTTTCTTCTAGTAATTGAGAAAAAGAAAAATATATTGTTTATTTTCTCCATATAATGCTTAATTTTATATACCTCAGTAATATCCCTAACAGTCATTTTTTTTTCTAAGTGTCTTACCTGATTCAGCCTTTCTTTGTACGGAAGATGTTAAAGACAAACTGATTATCTTAATCTGCCCTGCCCTGCACATCCTCCAGATCTAACCATAATCCAACCATAGAGCATACCAGATATATACGGCAGATATTCCAGACATTATAATGTTGGCTGTTTTATTTTCAGTTCCCTATGTTCTCACTCCTGTCATAAAATATGCCTTTTCAAAGCTGCTATATCTATTCAGAATAACCTGAAGATCTTTCGTCTGGTAAGCAATTCACATCAGTGAATATCTGAAATTTGGCGAGGGTTCTGTGTTGCCTTAAAGTGCATCACTTTACACTTATTTAAACTGAATGTTTGTCATTTGAATGACCATTCATCCAGTTTTGAGAGATCCTTCTGGATATTTTCACAACCACAGAACTTATTTGGTTTTAAAAACAAACACAAAAAGTGATTTGTTTTTAAGAGAAAGTCTGTGCAAAGAAATCCAGTTCCTAGAACTTTTGATACCGGACTTCATCCAAAATACACGAACACTTTGTAAGAACTTCAGAATCAACCCTCCTGTTTCTTTTTTCCCCATATCACTGCCAATAGTATGTGTGTACTATTCAGTCTATGACACTAGTCATTCATTCATTCATTCATTTTATTTATTTATTTTATTTATTTGTATCCTGCCTTGATAATTTTTAGAAATAACTCAAGACAGTAAAATATCTGTCACACTTTCTTCCTTCTATTTTCCCCACAGCAATCCTGTGAAGTAGGTTGGGCTGAGAATGACTGGCCCAAAGTCACCCAATTAATCTTCACTTAATGACCCTAATTGGGACTAACAATTCCACCATTAAATGATGTAGTCACCAACTGAAACATCACGTAACAGCTTAGCAATGGCTAACAGTTGCTGTTACTGCAGGAATCCCCCACGGTTGTTTGCAGAGGCCCACCAGGATCCAAGCATTCTTGGAAAACGATAAGGACCGTCTCCACTTCAGCTTCCCCTATCCACCAATTTCCCCCCCATCTCTGCCCATTTGGCTGCCCACTTATCTGCTGCCCCCACTGCCCAGGCTTGTCTATTGCTACACCACATGCCATTACTATACTAGTTGGAGGCCTTCTTTTGTGCCATCTCCTTTCACACTGGTGTAATTGGGGGGTTCTCTTGCACAATAAGCAAGATCTCCTCTTTGAGTCCCAACCAGGCACTGGCCAGAACTATTTTTTTTTCTGAAATAAGGCCACATGAAAGAAGGCCAGTGCCTGAAAGAAGGACCCTTCTAGCTGGGACCTTCTTTTGTGCCAGCACAGATAGGACCTTCTTTTGCACACTGGCTGGGGTCTCCTTTTGCGAAAGAAGGCCCTGGCTGACCTGAGAACAGAGGCCCTGACAGGCATATGAATGGAGACTTTGGCTGGTATGCAAACTGAAGCCCTGGCTATAACAGCTTGAAAGAAAGCAGCATGAAACAAGTCCTGCCCAATACAGTAGTGGTATGCAGTGTGGCAACAGCTGGGATGTCGATGTTGGTGGGTGGCAAAAAAAGGTGGTTATATATGCAGGTGGGCTCCAATGGGACCAAATTTTGTCCACATGACTGTAGAGGCACTGCAATGGCTTGAATCTATAGGACTGCGCACAAATTCCTTCATTCAGCACCACTGAAATGTCAAACAGTGATTCAATAATTGGATGTTAAGTGAGGCCTATCTGTATTACATTAACCCTGCGTAAACTTTAAAATACAGTCCATCCTCTCCCTCTCTGGATCTCTCTATCCTAACCCTTGCATAGCTTTGCTTAGCTACTTACTGTCTTGCCAAGGCACTGCTGATGAGAAACTTCTTCTGAACACCACAGATGCACACTCAGTTTGCATGTCTTGCATCGTAGACCTTGTTTGGAGTTTCCTAAAAGTAAAACCAAGACACAAGGAAGCTACAAGGTGTTTTGCTAAGATAATAGATGTATGTTGGTAGGAATAATATTGAGAGGCAGAGGAAGAGAGAATAAAAATCAGAAATACATGCCTGATAGCAAGAAACAGGCTATATACTCATCTCAAATTAGGCTGATAATGATTCCCATCCCCCCTAGTCACCATATCTGGAGGGTGGCCTATTATGAAACAAACATCTTCTGATTTTTTTAACACTTATTTCCAGGGTTATATTTCCTATTCATTTACAGGTAGCCCTTCACTTACAACTGGTCACTTTAGCGCCTCCCCTCCAAAAAAGCTATTTACAACCTGGTCCTCACATTACGGCCGCTGCACTGCCCCTGTGATTCTTCATTCTTAGGTCTGACCACAGGGATATTGTAGGGCCCTCCCATCTCCCTTCACATCTCCCCCACCAAGCCTCATACCTTCCTCCTTACCCAGTCTCACCCATCACACACATACCTTTCAAAGAACTCCAGAGGTTGGGTTAGGGACATGTGAGATGGGCAACTTGGTGATGTGGTCAAGGAGGAGGATAAGGGGCCTGTTGAGGTGGGAATCCTGAGGGGCATGGGGAGAGCATGGGTGCCTCAAGAGGTTGGGGTATTCTCTGGCAACCTTGAGGCATCCTATGCTCCGCTCAGCAATCCACACATTCATTTAATGACTGCATTGGGAAGAAGAGGTATGTGGAGGTCAATAATAATAATAATAATAATAATAATAATAATAATAATAATAATAATAATAATAATAATAATAATAATAATAATAAAGTTGGAAGGGACCTTGGAGGTCATCTAGTCCAACCCCCTGCTCAGGCAGGAAACCCTATACCATTTCAGACAAATGGCTGTCTAGTCTCTTCTTCAAAACTTCCAGTGTTGGAGCATTCACTGCTGCTGGAGGCAGGTTGTTCCACTGGTTAATTGCTCTAACTGTCAGAAAGTTTCTCCTTTGTTCTAGGTTGTTTCTCTCCTTGATTAGCTTCCATCCGTTGCTCCTTGTCCTGCCTTCAGGCGCTTTGGAGAATAGCTTGACTCCCTCTTCTTTGTGGCAGCCCCTGAGATATTGGAACACTGCTATCATGTCCCCGTTCGTCCTTCTCTTCGTTAAACTAAACATACCCAATTCCAGCAACCGTTCCTTATATGTTTTAGCCTCCAGTCCCCTAATCATCTTTGTTGCTCTTCTCTGTACTCTTTCTAGAGTCTCAACATCTTTTTTACATCGTGGTGACCAAAATTGGATGCAGTATTCCAAGTGCGGCCTTACCAAGGCATTGTAAAGTGGTATTAATACTTCATGTGATCTTGATTCTATCCCTCTGTTAATGCAGCCTAGCACTGTGTTGGCTTTTTTGGCAGCTGTAGCACACTGCTGGCTTAAATTTAAGTGATTGTCCACTAGGACTCCGAGATCCCTCTCACAATTACTACTATTGAGCAAGGTACCCCCTGGCCTATACTATACCTGTACATTTGGTTTTTCTTGCCTAAATGTAGAACCTTACTTTTTTCACCATTGAATTTCATTTTGTTAGATAGCGCCCAGTGTTCAAGTCTGTCCAGATCCTCCTGTATCCTAAGCCTTCTGGAGTGTTGGCTATTCCTGCCAGCTTGGTGTCATCTGCAAATTTGATGAGTTCCCCATCTATCCCCTCATCCAGATCGTTTCATTTTATGCCATGAAGAATTCGTCAAATCCCAGCTGGTTGTGGATGCTTCTGTTTTTCTTCTATCAAGAGAAAGCTCTGAGAAAAGCAGGTCTTCCTCTGTCTTCCTTGCGAGCAGACTAGAAATAGACGCCTGTTGACCAGGACATGTGTCCAGCAGTAACCATGAGTAGTAAATGGGCTGATTTCCAAATGTGCATTTGGCCATCACTTCCCTCTGCCCCCCCTCCAATGAACCTGGATTAAGCAAGAAAAATCACATACATTGGGGGGGGGCAAAGAAGGGATAGCTTCCCCTCTGTTTTCAAAGAGCTCCCACAATACGAGAATAGGCTATTTTTGAAAGGGGAAAAAAAAAACCTGGCTATCAAAGTTTTGCTCCTGAAGAACCATGTAGCATTTTTTGTGAGTTTACAAAAAATGGATGGTGTTTTTAACTACACTGACCCTCAGGAGGCCCTGTGTTTTGTCCTTATTGGGATCATAAGATCTTCTTCCATGGGATGGACCTTCCCCCTTGAGATGGCTACATGCCACAGTAGCTTTAGGAGCTAGCCTGGTCCTGGTGCTCCGAGTGGCTTTTGTGTTGCAACAGAAGCAACATTTGGATGCGTTTTACAGTCAGAGAGCATAAATGCTCTGAGGGAGTAAACCTGGTGAAAAAACATAAGCTAGGAAGAGCTGCAAGTCTTGAGAGCTGATGGGGATGACCTTGATGGAGACCAAGGGAGGGGGGGAGTTCCGTTACCAAGGCAATGAGGAATAAACATTGCAGAAGCCCAGACAAGGAGGGAGAGTTGTGAAAGCATCTCAGACAGCCCTCCCCCCAAATAAACAGGAAGATAAAAGAGGGAGGGGGAAGCTCTCTCAGTCTTCCAAGATGCTACTACTACTCTTGCCCATCTTCATAAAAGCCACCTTAGCCCTGCCTCCTGATCATCTTTGTTGCTCTTCTCTGTACTCTTTCTAGAGTCTCAACATCTTTTTTACATCGTGGTGACCAAAATTGGATGCAGTATTCCAAGTGTGGCCTTACCAAGGCATTGTAAAGTGGTATTAATACTTCATGTGATCTTGATTCTATCCCTCTGTTAATGCAGCCTAGCACTGTGTTGGCTTTTTTGGCAGCTGTAGCACACTGCTGGCTTAAATTTAAGTGATTGTCCACTAGGACTCCGAGATCCCTCTCACAATTACTACTATTGAGCAAGGTACCCCCTGGCCTAT